AAATCTTATGAAAATACTTGTATGTTTTTTATCCTATCATTTTGCGTCACTGGGATAAACTCCCTTTTTGTTGACAACCAGCACGTTGTTTTGTTGATATTCCGTTTTCTAAATATATATATATACCACTGCAATCTCTACCCAGAGTTGTCGTCGGGAGTGCAAGGACCGTAACTCTGCGTGATAGTCTCGTTCAACCAGACTCTTGTTGTCTGCGCAAGCGTCTGATTGAACGAGACTACACTGCCGATACAATAATATTTCGACCATTCAGAACTAGAGCAATGTAGCCGGTAACGTTATGTCAAGATAATTTACATCTTTAACCAAATCAAATATTTAAGTATCCTATAGTTAGATATAAGTTTTAAATCTTACAAAAATGTAACGTTTGTTCGAGATTCGGCAAACGAAAACTTGTTTCGAGATCAAGATGGCGGAGACTACAGCGCGCGCGACTGGCGGCCATGTTAAGACAAGTTTTTCAGTTCCATAGGTATTGTGAGAGCTCCGCCCTCTATAAGGAAATAACAGCAGATCTAACTGATTTAAAACGTTGACAGAATCTTTACATGTGCAGTAGTATTAGATAATTGAGTAGTTGTTTTCACTGCGTCGCTGACCAGCGTCGAACATAAATTCCTACTGAAAATATTTAATTACCGTTGATGAGACGGTATTATATTTGTCTCTAGAAGATGTAGAATTACGTGATGCTGTCGGCGGGTTTTCGTCTGTCAAATTCCACATTTGTTCTATGTCAAACCACTGCTAGGAATTTCTAATTTATAGAATACAAGTTTTGACAAGAATGAAATCGCGCCTATTATCAATTTCTTAATATATAGTATTCTATAATTTACCACACTGAAAATAATTTCAAGTTTTAAATCTGATAATAGTTTTGGGTTGGATTTCTGTAGGAATCAAATAGTTTCTATGCAAGAGTATACATGTGAGGTTATGCTATACATCCGGTTGACCACTTCTTATTTACATATTCAGGAATTTGAAACGATCAATATTCTGCGATTATGACATTGTGCAAGATAATCTGAAACATTTACATTAATTCAAACAAAAGGCCAAGAAAGTCTGTATCGCTCACTTGGATCTTTATGCACAGCAATGGCATATATGGCTATAGGTGCAGGACTTCAACCATTTCAAAGTTATGATTCAGAAATTAAGTCCCTATGGTAAGGGGTGTGGTCAAATACAAGAGTCGATACTAACATCATGACGAAGTTCATATCTTGATGTCCAGCGATGGCATATATGGCTATGGGGTTGGATCTCAACCATTTCAAAGTTATGACAATATAATTAGGTCCCACAGAGTGGGGCCAGACCCCAGAGTCAATTACTGAATGTGACTGTGTTTATCTATTTATGCCTATCAAATATATCAATGGTAATGATGAGGTAGGAATCTAAACCGTTTCAAAGTTATTGACCAGAAATTAAGTCCCTAGGGGTGGGGCCAGACCCAAGGTCATTTTTATATTACGATTGTTTGTCTCTTGATACTCAGCAATTGTTAAAGTCAAATCCCTCCATTTATACAGAAGGACAAGGATTTTAAACATTTCCCCCTATGTTCTCCCTAATAGGGCCTGCCCCTCTATCCCCGGAGTAGCCACACCCTCTGTTTATACAAAATTGGATTCCCCTTCATTTTACAGAATACAGTGTAACCACGTTGAGTTTCTTTGGATCAACAAGGCAATAATTAGTCAAAACCAATTATTGCTACTGTGCTATATATATGTGCATGAGTATAGGTCTAAATGACATTGGAATGAAGACAAACAGGTATATGTATTTGGGGTTTTTTACCAGTAAAGTCTAACTGATAAGGTTGATACTGTGTATGGGGCTATGTACATGTGTACTGTGGAGGGGGCTATTGGTTTTGGGGGTTAATAGGTACAAGGCTATAGCTAACAGCAAGCTCAGGGAGAGTAACATGTAGGTGAGATAATAGATAAGGGGCTTGGGGGATATCATCCCAAAAACCCTCTTATCCATTAATTCCTGTAGGAACTGATTTAGATAGAGTTCCTTCAGGAATTACTTATCCATTAGAATCTAGCTATATAGCCCACCTTAAACCTTAAAGTGATTATGGCATGTGGTTTGGAGGTTGGTAAGAGAAAAGCCAGTTCAATGAATATGTACGTACCTGAAGTTTTCTGTCTAGTCAAGTGAAGAACTGTAAGCTAATTAACAGTTTCTGGCAGTGGTACAGGGATCCTAGATAAATAAAGTCAAATTTTAAAACGAGTTAACTCCCTTACACCATTGCCTCACCTGTTTTCGTGGTAAGTCGCGCCACTTTCCGAAGACAAATATCCGAGCCATCGGCCCAGTATTATATGTCAAAGACCTTTCACATTCCGAGATCAGATTATCTGCCTCTGCCTTAGAATACAGGATCGTGTACCTACAATCTAAATTTTCGGAACTAAATTGCTGCCATTTCAAAGATTTAGCCACAGCAGAATCCGTATTTATGTTCACGTTTCCCTCTTTTTTCCGAACTTTAGATACCCCAGCAGCTTGATTTGTTGTCCCATCTTCTTTATCCTCTGTAACACGTTTCCTTTTTTTCACAAATCGGTCCATGTTTGGCAAGTTCGCCGTGTAGTCTTAAAATAGCTCATTCCTAATAATAGGAATCTGGGGTTTTACCCATTAGGTAGTCTTTCTCAGCCAAACGCTTGATTTACAGGTAGTTTTATGTTCAAACTACTAAATATCAGATATTAGTCGTCTTTTTATTTATGAGTATAACAGTTATCATTTGCATCAATTCACTATCAAAATATATCTATGTAAATTTGTAGAGTTCACAACATATTCAAAATGTTTTTTTTTCTATAAACTCACAAATTGAAACATTCCTTTTATTTTTGGGTGGTCGGATATACATACATCTTTGTAATAGTTATGTATGTTTTTTGTCTCTTTTCTGGTCCTACATATATGTATAACTGATCTAATTTGTCGCTTTTACTGTCATATCATAGAGGACATATTCTATTTTCCGTGGAGGTCCTTTATTAATTCGCCCTGTTCCATAGTGATCTAGCGTCGTATTGGAAGAAAACAAATTTATTGGGTTATTTTAATTAATAGACTCCTCCAATAGACAATAAAAATGTAGATAGTTGTAATTTTGTTCCGATCTCAGGCGGGTGGTTCGGTTCATTAACTTTATTAGAATTGTCTCCCGTCACACAGTGATCAAGCGCCTGGCCATGTTTATTTTTTTCTGAAATTAAATTAACATATAAGTGTAGGTTCCTCCGATATACAATAGGTATAGCTCCAATGCCTTATTCCGACCTCAAGCGCGGGCAGTGCTGTTCTATGGAATTGTCTCCCTTGCCACAGTGATCATATAAGAGTGCTAAACTAAAAATATAATCATAGTTTTCGTTGTATTGAAGGTATCACTCACCTTACAAATAAAATAAGTACACAATCTCAAATCCACGAATTCACATCTATATATGGTCATCTATCTCTTCATGATCACCACGTGCATTATCCACTCAATTTCAAATTTATTAAAAAACAAACACAAAGAATACGGTTAGACACTTATGTTAGTCTTCTCGTCTTATACCAATTCAGCATGGAATAGTGAATCACCTGACCTATATTCCGGCTTTAATTTAGTTTTCACAATTTCATCAGACAGAGAGTGTTAATACTCTATGTGGGTCTAGCAAGTAATCTATTCGGCAAGTGCTGTAAGTAAGCAAAAAAAGTTTGTGTCAAAATCTGACAAGATTTTCAATCAGAACACTGACAGATCAGCAAAGCCCCTACGATGTGCCTGATCGCACTACACAACCCGGTCTGTTTTTAGGTACAGTAACATTGACCCCCTATCGCACATCTATATGTACATGTCACAGTGTATCACCATGGCAAATTTTAAAAAAAAAAATCAGTTTTCCGGATTCCGAGATAAGGACTCTACCCTCATGGTCTATTATTAGTAACAGTGACATTAACCTTGACATTAAAACTTATTAAAATCCTTATGACAATCTAAATATCACAGTGTATCACCTTAAAAATGTAAAAAAAAAAAAAACATTTGTTTTTCAGATTCCAAAATAAGCACTCTACCCTGATTGTCTACTTTTAATAACAGCGACATATGACCTTATTATTTTAATATCCCTATTGCACATCTACATATCACACTGTAATACCATGTCAAAGCAGACGTTTGAATTCCGTTCGGAGTTTAGTACCTAACACTAAGGTGTAGCTAGGTATATCTGGAGATTGGGTTGCTACCTATCCTACCTGCACGATAATAAAACCACTGTGGACATGATGGCTGACCAACTGTTACTTAACAAACATTTTACGTTGTGTTTCTGTTTCTACATAAATTGTTTTAATTTAATGATATTTTCACAGCTGTCCTTAATAAAAAAAATAAAAAATGCTTTCTCAATGTACTGAAACCTGAAATCTATCGGATAGGCTTATCTAACAATCTGTGGAGTGTTGCGTATAAATCATTGCGGTAATGTTGCCAAATGCTCTGATTGAAGACTCACTGTTTCAAGTAGCAGCATCAACCTGTGATAGAGCATTTGTTGATGTTGTAGTAAACGTAGTTGTTTCTCTTCTTCTTCTCTTTCTGAACCATACTTTGTCGCATAATTGACCTTTTAGAAAGAAGTGGCACCGATACATATGTAAATGCAGCATCAACATTCCTCATTGCAGATATGTTTCCTTCCACTTGCAGCACATTTTTTGTTGTGCGCAAAGAGATTGTGTTGCTTCATTTAAAGGATAGGACTGCTACAAGTCCCGCCCAATATGATATAAACAATAGATTGATGAAACCATCTAAACCATATGAAAAATATTCAAATCCCCGATTGAAATGTTAATTTTAATTATTCATCAACACTAACCATTTTTCGCTATGACAACCGTGGCTCCTGAAAAGAGATTATATATCTCAGGAAAAAATAGAACAAGGAATGCCTGGTTCTAATAAGCTCACATTACTTAAACAGAAAATAGCCCAGCCATTATCCCTCCAGGACCCTATTCTTCACACCACTGAGACCGCTGCAGGTGTTGGGCTTCACAAACACCGCATCCCGACCCTGGGAAGTCCAGGGTTAAAGCCCAGTGGTGGATGGGGAGTGGGAGTTACTGACACTAATATGTCGCCGTCATGATCGTACGAGCATCAATACTCTGTATGAGTTGTTTTTTGACAATCATTACAAATGTAGAGCAGGTTCCGAACCACTAATTCAACAGAGTACGTGAATGCGACTGATATACTTCAAAATGTGATCAGATTCCAATTATATTAAACAAATGTGAGTTTTTTCACTCACATATATATATATATGTTTAATCATTTAACCATATGAATCACATGTTTAGTTTGTAAACCAAAATGGAAACATTAACAGAAAATTCATAAAAGGCTTTGTGTTTGGTTTTAAGTTATTTATTTTCTCTGACTTTTCAGACTAAGGTAGCGTTTCATACGATTCAATAAATATGATACAAACTTTAAACCTCGAAAGTCAATAAAAAGAAAGAGGAAATCGAATTTACATTGACAAAGGGCATTTACGTTATCATACACGAACAAAACGGAACCATACACTCCTGAAGGCACATTTAAACCCTTCCAATTCAAAGGTTTGAATAGTTCATATTGAAATTTCATGGGTGAATGTAGAGTTTATATAGTTAGATAAAGGCAATGACAAATCGTGCAGAAAACAACCTGAAGTGTCGGCTGACGTTGGATGTAAAGCTTCGTTAACAAATATATACATCCGGACCTCTCGATCAGACTCTGTACACTTACAGCGGGATGTATATGTCGCCTTTAGCTAGTTGATTATGATGTCATCGCGATCTACGTTATTCATCCTCCTGTACGTATTAACAGTACAGACAGTGTCATATATACGTCCATCTGTGATCAACAACACTGACAGGCCATCAGGTGCGTCCGGAACGCACCCGATCGTGTGGATTGGGGCAAAAATGACTTAATGAAATTGATACAATCTATCACTCATGTGAAATGTTTACAGAGAAGTTTCAACTGAGGGTAACAGTTTTTCAGGTTAACACGAAGCTTTGCCGATTGCTAGTTTTCTATTATCCCTGGGGTTAGGATTTCTCTGTCAGAATCACACAGTAGTAATGGTCCCAATTATTCTCCTCTGTATCAAAATGTTAGGCATAACAGACTTTGATTATTTTGACATGTTTGTTTGTTGGTTGGTTGGCCACAGCTAAGGTCCTATGAAGACGGGAGACACCACCGGAAGGAAAGAGTAGAGAATGGAGAAAGAAAATATATAGGTCCCAATTTTTGCAACGAGGTGGAAACGCAATTTTTGTTTTTCCGTGCTACCGAAGCAGAAGAAAGAACCCACTCTACCCACCCCACCCTAATTCTTCAGGGGGGACCTCTTACGATGGCATCCAGTTGGGAAGAGCAGGCCGATTCTTTAACCGAACTTGTAGGAGTGTTTTTTTGCTCTGTTGCGTTGCGTTCAGATTTCATATGTTCAATTGATGATGTTTTTCACAATTGCTTGAAAAAATATGTAAACATTTATAGAATGGTTGTATAAAGTTCAAAATAGAAGTTTTATTGATAACATGAGCGTTATGCAGGGTCAGCTTGAAACTCAATTGAGGTCAGCTGCAATTATTGAAGACCTCACCACTCCAATTGTGTAATTCTGTTTATATCTTGAAAATAATATACTTGATTTTCTCCTCGTCACGATCTGCTTGCGGCAGAATATGGACAAACCCTTCAAATTGGTAATTTCATGGTCCACTAGGTGCGGCTTTGTTTATAAGATATTATCAATCATCTCCCCCACACTCCCACCAGATTATCAGTTTATCGATACTCTGGACAGACTCCAGTAGACTACGTGAGACTTCCAAATATGTAACAGAACAATTTGGATTGGCCACCGAGCCTTATTGAGGACGATCATGTTAAATATATCCAGGATTAATACGTGACACACTGATAATACATAGTGTGATTGACTCGACTTGAAGAATGGTCTCAAATCATAACATGAAGAGACAAAAAATATAATGTCTTTTGTAGAACATGACTAAATACAACAAGAAATGTCCTGTGTATGTTTGCGACCTTCGGGAAAAGAAGAAACGTTTGTGACTAAATACAGTAATAAATGTCCTCTGCATGTTTGAGACCTTAGAGAGAAGAAGAAACGTTTGTGACTAAATACAGTTATAAATGTCATCTGCATGTTTACGACCTAAGGGGGAAAAGAATTGTCTGGAACGAAATACAGTAATAAATCTGCATGTTTGCGACCTTAGGGTGGAGAAGAAAAGATTGTGACTAAATGCAATATAAGGTGACCAATAATATCCCAAACGTAGTAAGACAGGATAGCTATGGAACCCGTTGCTAAGGATAGCTATGGAACCCTTTGCTAAGGATAGATATGGAACCCGTTGCTAAGGATAGCTATGGAACCCGTTGCTATGTGTTTTCTTCTGTGCTTTCATATGACTGCATCTGATGTTAGAACACACAATCCTAAATTCAATTTATTCTATCAGTGATTAAAACTATAATAGTCTGCTTA